ACTTTTAATCAATAGTCTAAAATAATTGGCGACTGTTACATTTACGTGACAGTACAAAGGAACATACAGATTTCGTAGTATAGTTTTAGACAGTTGATCGAAGTTGTGTGGGGATAACGTCTTCAGTAGATTGAAAAAGTATGGCTTCAGTGATTCGTCTCTGGAGAAGGAGCCGTGGTCGAATAAATCAGACAAACAAATAACGGTCAATTTTTTAGAACGGTGTACTTACAGTTTAAAAAAACTGGTCCTGGCTAGATTCGAAACTAGCAGCTTTGTCGGACCAGGCGTATTTCTTACCACTAGACCAATTGTTTCCGCTGTTAAGAAGTTTTATCTTAATATGGTTACCAAGCTATCTAAAGATACATCCGATGTTGTTAGCGAAGTTTTAATACCCGAAAAAAGTATTCATCGCAATTTGATAACGCTTGCAAGTCGCAAGCGTAATCATGACAAAGCCTCCGTTAGCACTCCAATGCGCTAATATTCAAAGTTTTATCTCAAGGATACAAATTTTAAAAATGTTGAAATACCTGTTCATTGTCCATCATGATTTTGATTGTTTGGGTTCTAGAATTCTAACAATAACACTTGACGCGATTTTTCAATAATTCATAGGTTTATTACTGTTTTACTTTCGTGATGGTGCAACTTAGGTCGTTGACGCACTAAAAATATGGCAATATGGCCGTCATCGAAAAACGTGTAATAAATAACTTAATAAAATTAAATTAGCTGCGTTTTAGCGAGTATAACTGAAACGATTTAAGAAAATTACATACTAAAAACTGACGCGTTTTAAGAACGCTTTTAAGCTGCTTTTCATAAAAATATAAGCTGCTTCGATGGTCATAATATGATTTAACTTTTATAACAATTATTGATATTGTACCTTAAAAGGTTAGCTCTTTGAGTTTCACGCTGTTTTATTACCATTTTTAAATTTATCTTTATCTTGATAGTTTTTTATCTTGATAGTTTTCTAAATAACCAAATCTTGATAGTTTTCTAAATAACCAAAATCAGTCTTAGTTTTTCGACTCCTTTTTACATGGTTTCTTCTGACTTCAACCACATTGCATTACAAAAGAAAATGCATGCATTCTCATTATTTTAAAAAAGTTTTCTCGGCTCTTATCCAGTCCCCCCCCCTCTTTGATTTTCTTTGAAATTCGATAAAAGAAAGTTTATTTAAAACAACTTTATTCGTTATAAACTGACTTAGGTGTCAGCGTGAACAAATTATTCGAATACTTTCTACATGCAAAATGCCGTGTGAACAATTTTTGAGCAGCTAAATTTTGTAATTTTACGAGGGGGTGGTAAAACTGGAAAAGAGCCGTTTTCTCAAACCACCACTTATATACTCACATCTGAAAAATGAAGAGTCATGACTGAAAAATCAGCCAAGTAAGAAACCTTGTATTTCTGTTGCTACCTCGAAAGCATGCCAACGATTGAATGACTTGAGTCACGGCATTTCTCAAAAGCTAAATTGAGAAAGCTAAAATGAGAAAGCCGCACGATTAAGCCCTCATTACTTAGGAAAATCAGTCAAGATCTCGATTTAACTTGGCCGTGGTCTGCTAATTGATTAGATCACAGGTGGTTTGATTCAACCCCGACTTTCATGAGACTAGATTTGATACATAACAAAGAAACAAATTGACGCCATTAATGAAGAAAATAAAAAAAACGGAACTAATTTAATCACCTCAATCATTAATACTCAGAAAAGTCATCAGGGGTTAAAACACTTTTTAAAAAGATATAAATTACTAAGGCATACTGACTTTATTAAATTACTAGAACCATTAATTACATTGATTGCTTTAGACAAATATCATAGAAAACATTTTTTATTGCTAAAAATAGAGTTGGCGAGTTGGCACCTAAAAATACTGCTTCGTACCGAATAAAAATAACTAAACACTTTAAACTAATAATCATTGAGTTAGCATGGGGGTAGAGGTTTATAGATTTGGTGAAATGAAATGAAAGTAGTTCGAATTTTAAGAGACAATGCAAATAGGTTATATGTACAGTTGCATACATATATCAGTGATACAATCAGGGGCGGATCTAGGATTTGATCGAGGGGGCGGATTTTAAGGTCGACCAAACTGATTTTCCGAGCTCTCAGATATCACTTTTGACCCTTCCCCCTCAAAATTAGTATATGTTGGCGCTGAAAGCGCCTTCAGAAAAAATTTAGTGTCCACCAGCTAAACAATGAAAATATCAAAATAGTACAAATGGTCCGCTGAGCCGGCAGGGGATCGAATCCTTGAAAGGGGGTGGCGTCCACCCCCGGAAATCCGCTGGTGAATAGAATTATTCAAAGTAGCTTCTGCTTAGTATAATAAGATTAGACAGAAGGCGGAAAAGCTGGAACATTTAGGGATATAATTTATTTCCATTTTTAACGCAGAGGCGAAGTGGAGCTTCGCATCACTTGCAATACAACAAAAACAAAAAAGAACACAAAAAACCGAAAACTAATCGAAGTTTTTTTAAAAAAAGGGCATACAAACTTTCATGTCTCGATAGAAGTTCATAACAGGCAAACATGCCAGACACTTGAGTTTTAAATTAGCAAAAACAGAACAAAGTTTACGAAAAGAAACAAAATGACAATCTTTGAGCAGACAAGTTGAGCCGGAAAAAAAACATTTATTTTTAAAAAATGTATATTATAAAGCCCCACCTTAAACAACAATGGAAAACACTTGCAATTGCAACTATATTGAGAGTTGTTTTCAGCACAAGAAAAATCTGTGATGTGACAATTAAGCCAACAACCTTTGAGCTCAAAACAGTTGAACCGATTGTTTTTTAAAATCTTTTTACGTCCCCCTTAAAACTAAAATGAACCGCACTTGCACTTGCAACTACAATGAAAGATGATTGCAACAAAAAAAATCACTGATATGTGTCAACTAAGCTGACGATTTTTGAGCAGACACCAACTGAACCGATAATTTTGTTTTTTCAAAAAAATCTTTCAAGTCCCCCCTTGAAATTAGAATGAACAACACTTGCACTTACAAAGAAAATTGTCTACAGCACAAGAAAACTCCGTTGTGTTCAATTTGAATTTTCAAGAAATTGAACATGTCATTCAGCAGCATAGTATGCAAGTGATTCACTGATTTTGTTAAACTAGTTGTTAACTAGAAAAAAATCTATATTCCAGTTTGATAACGCTTGCTAATCGCAAGCGTAAAAAATTATATTGATAACTGTTGTTTCCAAAACGAATCAAATTTTAGTGAATCACAACAGATCAATTATTAAAAACTGACAAAACGCAAGAATAACGCGATATGCGTAGAAAATCGAGTTATTCAAAAGTAATTCAGTTTTTTGTTCCGAATTTTGCAGAGAGTAATGAAATATGTTTCAACGATCATTTTTAGTCTACTTCTGCATAACTAAAACTTTGAAAGTGATCAGAAGAAAAACTTTCAGTAAAGTACGCAATGGGTCGGAATTTTAGATTCATATTTGTCCCAATTTAGACATTTTAAGCATTAGAAACACTATAGAATCTAAATGTTTTCACAGTTATTTTCAAACAGTTAACAGTATATTAGACGACAGGGTTAATGAAATCAGGGAAACCGAAAAAAAACGAATGAAGTTACAATTAACTTAACGCCAAACATAAATGTGAGCTTGACAATATGCGCTTTAAATATTTTTCCTTAAAAGAGCCCGACCTAAATAAATAGGAATTCCCAGCGTTCATTAACACTTGATGAATGGTCGAAAATAATACGCGACTTACAAATACTTGGTAGTACAAATGAAAATTACAAATTTCTCAGTATAGTTTTGGACAGCTGGTCGAAGTTGTATGGGGCTAATGTCCTCAGTAGGTTGACAAAGTATGGCTTCAGTGATTCGTCTCTGAAGAAGGAGCTCTGGTCGAACATTCTCGCTGTTGTCTCACTGTTACACAGACAGTCCACCCATAAGTGCAGTTTGTGAGCCCTAAACGAAAGGTAAAAATCAACAAGGATAGCCGGTTACTTGGCTAGTAGCACAGAATGTTCCGATCATAATGTTGAAAAAAAAAAAAAAAATTCAAATCAGTGTCATTTTTTTTGCGTAGCGTGATAAACAGATTTGAACGAAAAAAAAAACAAATAGAACTTAAACTCTGACAGTCACAGTAAAACAGGCCAATTGGAAAACAGTTTTTGTTGAAAATTGACTAGAAAAGCGAAAAAAATCCTTAAAAACTCAATTTTTCAATTTTTTTGAATTTTGTAAGTTTTTGATTCCCTACAAAAATCTTGAATTACATAGAAATTAACCTAATTAGAGAAAGCTGGGCCAAATAAGTAAATTTTTTATTCCTCTAGAAATCTTTAGATAAAAAAACACTTTCGGAAGTAAAAATTATTCAAGTCTTTTCGAGCTATGTGAAGTTCCGTAACTGGAGAGCGCAATTATCGTTGCTTTTAGCAGACAAATTTGAATTGAACTTAAGACTACATCAAAATCAAACTAGAACATGAAAAAGTTTAGTATTTTTTCAGTCAAAGGAAATTAAAAAAATCATGCTGTTTTCACTTCGTTCATTGATGCTGAAAAAACGAAAGTATTTTCAATGTTTCTCTATACGCGATGATAGACTTGATCAATTCGGCTAAATGTGCGATAAATTTTGCCGAATTGATCAAATCTATCAACGCTTTTAGAGGAACATTGTAACTATTAACTTTCACAAACTGTAAGTCTTGGTTATTTATGGTCAGACATCATGTAAAAAAAAATGACCAGCCGCTTAAATTAGCTTTATTTTATCACTTGTTTTTAACATGAAAATCTGAAAAAACTGACGATAATGCGTTTGCAATTGCAATTCAAGTCATTCAAAAAATTACGCTTACAAAAGCATAGAAAATGCATAAGCAAACGAAAAAATTACTTTGCCAGCCAGGTTAAAACTAACACACAAGTAATTTCATACACAAGTCAAAACTCGCGCGGCGCATTTTGATCAACTATCAACGAATAAGTCCGCAAAAAAGACTATCAAGCTTATACTAGTCCGGCTTTCTACAAACTAACAATTTGCATTCATTTCACAAATCAATATTATTATAATATTTTAAAACATTATGGACTCCAACGGGGCTTTTCGTGGCCCAAAATTGAGTATCGCAGAACATGAACCTACAGAATATGCTGTCCACAACCAATCGAGTCTTGACGAAGGCGATAATTTGTATGGGCGACTTTTGTCAACTGACAGCGGCCGTGTATATCGATACAAACCATTCGGTACAAATATAATAGATGGGTCCTATTTGAGAAAATAGAAAAAATTCCCCGTTCTTAAAAGTAACGAATAGTTTGCTAAACCGCTTTTTGCTAACTGTCATTTTCAAGATTCGGAAGTATTTTTTCATACGGTGAGCGAACTTAACTTCCGTTCAATTCAAATCTTTGAACTTTTGCCATCCGCCCACTAATCCCTCAAAACGCCTCGATTTCTCGTTTTTTTTTCGAATGAGCCATCTATCTTAATTGTACCTAAGACATCACAGATGATGACCCTTATGAAGATATCAACGTAGCAGGCGGAAAGAATATTGCACAGGAACCCGGAATATACGATTCAATTGGACTGGAACGAAGTCAAGTGCTTGCTCTTAGAATTCCAAAAGCAGCCGACACGAGAGCCAACCAAGCCGAAAGTTCTATGAGCCGACAAAATTTACCTGAGCATCAAAAGCCATCAAATTTGCCAATACAACCAGCACAAAAAAGGTACCAGGCATCTATTGGTAATCCCGCGGTACAAAGTCAACAAGTTCGACCTCATTTTTCCCAAAACCTGGCAGGCAACGCTCCCGCTAATAATTCGGTTGGTGTTAGATTTACTGCCCAAACGTACAATGCCCCTCCATCGCAAACAAACAACATGAACAACGGAACTAATTCAAATCAAGGGACCATTAATGCTACGGCGCAATTAAATTATGATTTAATGTCCCATAATAATCCAGTCGTGGATAATACAGTTTTAAGCGTGAACAAACTTGCGACGACTCATAACAACCAGACCGAACGCATGCTCCAATATTTCGACCCATTAAAAGATGGCGAACTGTCACCCCAGACAAATTACACGTCTTGGAATCATAACTTAGAGTACCTAAACATGGGTGAAAATAATAAAAGCGACTTCGGAGATAGCTTTGCTCATTTTGAAAACGCCAAATTTGAGCAGGAAACCGATAGTTCTCAAGGTCAAAAATTTATCCAAAAGGTTTCGAGCTCTATTGGCGGAGGGTCGGCAACGGTAGGTCCAAGTGCATCGACAAGTCCTGTTGAAAATCTCCCTTCTAACGTCAGACGTCAAACCATCGGCCATCAACCGATCAACTTGCATGAACAGTCAAAGATTCTCCAAAACCAGAATGCACAATCAGTCCTAAATCAACATCAACAACAACACCAAAATCAACAACAACAACAACAACAACAACAACAACAACAACAACAACAACAACAACAACAACAACAGCAACAACATCAACAACAACACCAAAATCAACAACAACAACAACAACAACAACAACAACAACAACAACAACAACAACAACAACAGCAACAACAACAACAACAACAACAACAGTTTCAACATCAGAGCGAAAAATTAAGAGTTCAACTGCCTCCGAGAAACGGAGGGGGCAGTTTTGAGAGTAGCGACGATGAAAATGTCCCTGGAGGTCAAATTGGTCCAACCGTTTTTACAAACCGATCACAAAACGGGCAAAACTCACTTGAACAACCATTTAATCAGTTGAATTTGGGACACAATTTCACAGGTGCGGGGTTCATTCCGATGAGTCCGGTGCACAATGGAACGCCCACATCAACGGCTGCCAACAGTATTAACGTCTGCGCAAACCTTTATAACGTTGTTGAAGATCCACCAACATTTGACAATTCGCGTTTCGAGCCGCCTCAGAAAACGGCCATGGCCCAAAATGCACAGCAAACTAGAAACCCATCAGCCCCAAACCCAAACAACAATCCACTGCCAGGTATTTATACATCTACTAAACTCTTAGCAGAATTTCAAACGGAGAGTACACCCTTGGTAAACTTTAAATTGTTTCTACACAACTATCAATACAAAAACTAACACGAACACTAAGGAATAATTTGAATTAAAAATAAATTTAGCAACAGCAAGTGTTTTGAATGGAGTTTCTGCCATAATTGATGATCAGTCACTTGTTTAAAAACAATTTAAGTTGTGGTTTGAATGCAACCGGAGGTTAAGTGATCTCTTTTAACCATCAGTTGAAAAATATCGGCTTAGTTGATAGAAATTAGCCTGACAAACATTGACTTAAATAGTCATATGGCGAGTAAGTCTCAGACGCAAAAAAAAAGACAATCGCTCAACATTTTTTTTTAAAAAATCCGTTAAGAATAAGTTGAAAAACAAAAACTGACTATCCTTAGACAGGCTGAACAGCCTTTGATAGATCATCTATGATTCGCAGAAGTAAGCAAATTACTGCCGATTTCACGCGAACTGTGTTCATAAACTGGAGAGTAATAAGTTTCCTTGGATCTACTTAACAATTGCCCCCCTTTTAAGAAAGGGGGGCGGCAATTGTTAAGTAGATAATTATAACGTATATTCGACCAATCAGATTGCAGCAAAATTAGAAGTCTCAATACAAAGTTCTAGCGCTAATTTACTGCTTTTTTTAATAAGGGTGGCAATTCTTAAGTAGGTACCACAGGGAGGTCAATTGTTAAGTAGATCCGTTTCCTTCTTTTTAGGTTCTGGCTCACGAGGTGCGAGATCTGTGAGTGTTGGCATAATGAGTTCATTGGGCGATGGTTTCATGCCCTATCAGGATCTGTGGAACAAACCATACTTTGACATGACGATCACTCTCAAAGAAGCAGGTATGGTTCAAATGGTTATCAGAAACTTAAGCTACGCTGTGCTTTTCGCGAATGTGCTTCTGTAACGCTTACAGATACCAAACACTAGCCAATCATAAAGTGAGAACCGATGTTACTAAACAACCAAGAAGTTGGGTTAGAAAACATTTATTCATAATATAACACATTTCTTGCCAGCTCGCTTGTTTAATCGAATGGTAACTAAGCAGACAAAACGTGGACAGACAACCCTTGAACCATAACTCTTTTTTTTACTCCACCCCCACCGAAGCACAAAAATAAATTTACGCACTTCTAACAACTTATTAAGAAGCAACTAAACCGATAAAACATGAGTAGAAAACACTTACGCCGCAGAAACCAAAAAAAAACAAGAAAAAATAATGAAAAGTAAATTATACAAAATCATAGGCAGTATACATCCAAATTACAGGATAAAATGAACATAAGTTTGAATTATAGCAACGATGAGTTTTTGTCAACTTCCTTTCCAAAGCATGTACTTTGCTTAAAAGCTCAGGAGATTTCGCAATTTCATGGGTGATGGATTTATCACAAGTGTTGCGAAGCTCTACTTCATTTTTGTGCTTTATAATCAATTTCTCTGAAATGCTCAAATATTTTCACCCCAATATACCTTCATTTAAAATGTGGGATCTACTTAACAATCTCCCCCTCCCCCCTTTCAGAAGGGGTGGGAAATTGTTAAGTAAGTTGGATTAGTCGAATTTTCGACCAACCAGAATACAGCAAAATTAGAATTCTCAATAGGAAGCTCAGTGCTAATTTACTCTATTCATTCATAGGGGTGGAGACTCTTTAGTAGATACCATAGGGCGGAGGGGGGATTGTTAAGTAGATCCAAAATGTGCTTTTTATGATGTAGAGGACAAACTGCGTGAGCAGAAGAAAGAGGGCTGCTACGTAGTTCGAAACAGTAGGAGCAAGGACGGACTGAACTTCGCCATCACTTTCTACTCGAAGAGGGTGGAGGGCACAGTGAGACACCTGAACATCACTTTCATCCCAGAGGCCAAACAGTGGCGACTGGGAAAGGTGGAGAGGGAGAACGAACTGCGATTCACCAAGGTCAGCTCACTTCACACAGGACAAAAAAAAACAAATATAATAAGGCTAAAAAGTATAATAAGTTAACAAATGGTCGAGACGATAACTATGCAACGTTTTTCTATCAACGACAGTAGCCGACTTAGGAATTGAGATTCATTAATTCACCAAGGTCAGCTCAGTTCACGGAAAACATAAAAACATACATAATAAAACCGAAATTTAAAGATATTAGAGATAACTAGTTAACGATTATTCGAAAGCAAGTCCTATCAAACAAAGCCAAACCAATGATCGTCGGATTGACTTTTATCGATATCGTTGAAGAGAAAAAGAACTGAGATTCACCAAGGTCAGCTCAGTTGAAACAAAGACAAAAAACTTAAATAAGAAACCGAAACTTAAAGACATTAGAAAGAGCAAGTTAACAAATATTCGAAAAGATAACTATATAACGGTTTTCTATGAACGACAGTAGCCGACTAAAGAAATGGGATTCATTGAGTTCGACTGATGTAAAAAAAATCCAAATGGACTTTCAAAGGTCAGCAGATTGATTGTACACAAAAAACAAGAAAAAAATTCGGAAAAAATTTCTTGTAGTTGAGCAGAGCTCTTCGGAGGCATAATTTCATAGTCTTGGAGTCGTGAATAGATTCTTCTTTTGTAATTTCTGAGAAATGGGGCATTATTTGTTAGCAGCACTGTATGTTAGTGGAGTAGTACATAGATGCGTAGTTTGTATTTCTGAGAAAAAGAGTGATTTTAATAAATAATAGAGTAGTAAGTAGTGCATCGATGAGTATGTTTAATTTTGTTTAATCTGAGAAAAACAAATTTTGTTAACAGCTTGGTTAGATGGGTACTTGGTATTTTGAGAAATAGAATTTCAGCATTCATATAAAATCCTACAAATAATCATTCGAAAAACTTGAAATTAGGCCTAAGGATTGACATTCTGCTCTTTCTGCTGCTCTATTAAACATTCTGCTCTAAAGGCCGAATTCTGCTGCTAGCAGAAACCTTTGGTGCCTGGTCTGGTTGTCATTCACTGTTTCGATCAAACAGGAAGAAAACGAACAGATCCGGAATTATAAACAACACAGATGCGAATCTGCGCTTCGCAAATACTGGCGAGAACACGACAAAAAGAGCAGCTCTAAGTGCAAAAATAAACCATAAAAAAATCGAGAAGTCTTGGATTCGATCTGCGAACTAGAACTTATGCGTCTCACGCACTAATAACTCAGCCACGGAAGCTCACTAACTGACAAACATTAGCCACAAATAAAACACATAAATGCTGCTAAGAAATTTCCAATACTAGATCGTAGTTAAAGCAGAAAAGCCACCAAATAAGCGAACACTATAAATAAACACTTTTATTTGCGAGTTAGGTTGGAAAAAAGAAGGCTCGTACTAATATACACTACGCTCTCAAGCTGGCTAGTGTTAAAGAGCATAAATAAATTGTTTCCAATCTAATCTAATAAAAGCAAATATATGTATGTATTTAAAATATACATACTTTTGTTTTTATTAGATTAGATTGGAAACAATTTATTATTACTCTTTTACATTTATATTTTATATATTCAGTCTTTTATATATTTAGTCTTTTATATATTTTAAAGCGAATGGAGAACGAACTTAGATGAACCAAGGTTCGCTAATTTTACAGAAAAGACCAACAAATTTTTTTACACAGAAGCAAAACTGCACTTCGCTATGTAAAAACGGCACACGGGACCCTCAAAATACAAAAATACAAAACTGAGTCATTCAACTTTGAAATTAAAAATTATATATCCTGCGGTAAATGTTTTTCCCATTGCTCCATAAAACAGGGAGATAAAGCCGAAGAGATAAAGATAATGGGTACTGCACAGCAACTAACTATCCGCGTTTTGAAATGTAATCCATTTATGTATTTCAACTACATAATTTGCTACAGAGTTCTCTACTGTACATTATTGAAAACCGTTTCGTAGTCATGGTTTCGAGTATTTGAAGTTTAACATTATCTTCTAACACTTAACCCAACTTCAAAAATACTCGAAACCATGACAACGAAACGGTTTTCTATAATGTACAGTAGCGAACTCTGTAGCAAATTACTGAGCTGAAAAACACTATTAGATTACAGTTAAAAACGCGGATATTTCGTTGCTGTGCAAGTAGCACAGAATGTTCGAATCAAAATCTAAGAAAAAATTACATTAGAATTTGTTTCTTTTTCCTCAAATGTGTGTCGTTTTTTTGTGCGTGGCGAGATGCAATAATCTGACGAAAGCCTAGAACTTCAGCATACTCGACAGTTACAGTGAAATTGGCGAACTGGCAACACTTCCTGACCAAAAAAGACAAGAAAAACAAAAACAATTATTTAGAAAATCAACAATTGAAAAACTTCTTGAATTTTTTTATTGCCAAGACAGCGCTTAGAATCTTCGGAAAAAAATTTGCACTGGGGTAAAACATAAGTTTCGCGTCTTATCCTACCATAATAAAACCTGCTCGCTCTCTTTACGCGCTGGAAATTGAACTGAAAATCAAAAATTATCAACCAGTTTTTCTGGACACCGGGACAATTTTTGAATTTTACACCGTCGTTCGAATCAGGGCTGAAAGAACAACAATATGATGTATCAATCCGATTACTATTCGAGTAACTAATTTGGCTAACAAAAAAGCCTGCTTGCTCGCTCACTTTATTCGCTCGAAAATACTAATCCTAGCCAACAGACAGTTGTTTTCTTTAGGTATAAAAACACAACTTTCGAATTTCTATGAACCAAATATGCCTTTAAAGCTCATTCACTTTCTAGAACAATTTACGAATGGCGCTTTTGTGATGAATTTAACTCAATTTGAGAAAACTGGATCAATGAGTACAATTTTTATTTCGCGGGGAAATCCTGAAAAAAAAGTTACACTTTCAAAACTAGAAATCGATCACTTTTTTCGTGACCTGAACACTTCTGCTGTTCAATAGAGGAGTTTTCCTTCCTTTCAACAAAAAGAAATGAACCGAAATTTTAAAAAAAATCAAAATTCAAACCGCGAAAAAGTAAATTTGAACCTGAACAATGTTCAAAACTTTTCCTGGAAAAAAAACCTTGCGACCTATATAAGAGTCTGAACTACCTTCATCGACTCTTAAATATCATAAACTTGAAACGTATGTTTCTCGATAGTGAAAACATTTTCTGAAAATTTTTTATTTTCGTTTTTTAATGTCGTTTTTAACGTCGTTCGAAGGGTTTGAAGGAACAACCATAATTATCAAACATCCCCTCAATAATACCTGAAATCTCTGAAAAAATAATGGTGCCCCGATGATAATGGACTTTCAAAAAAAACATTTTAAACGGACATGGAGCCAATCGCAAAAACCATAACAAGACAGAATTGAATCTAATACCTTGACGTACATATTGTCGAAACCACCCCCCCCCCCCCCCCCCCGGAGAGTTATGAAATCAATTTGTTAAATTGTACCTAAGACATAGCCAGCTGACAGTTGGAAAAGAGTAGTGAGCAAGGAAATTGAACAAAAATGAAAGTCGAAGAAAAAATAGATGGCCTTAAGGCTCTTTGAGTTTCTAGAACAGTTTATGCTTGACACTTTTTAAATTAAAACTAACCCAAATTGCAAAAACTGGATCAATAGGTAAAACTAGAAGTCGATCACGTTTTTTCGCGACCTCTACACTTTTGCTGTTCGATACTGGAGTTTGCCTTCCTTTTAAAAGAAATCAAAGTCAAACCGCGAAAAAACTAAATTGAGCGTGAACAAATGTTAAGACTTTCCTGAAAAAAAATCATCAAGACCTATATAAGAGTACTCTTTACGTTCATTACTCTTGAAAATTCTTCGTAATTTTTAAAAACTACTCTAGGCTAATAAATCAATTCGACTGACAAGATAAAGTCCACCGAAAACTCCTCAAATTTGTTGCCTCCAAAACCCTTGCAAAAAGCAGAAGTCATTCGCCTCAGTCTTTCTTCTGAGCTTTCACGATGGCAATTTGATCACATGTTTTTTTTTGTTTGTTCAGGTATCGCATTGCGTAGAGCACTACTTGAAGAATGGATTTGTGCTTGAAAATGGAGTTGAAGTGCGACTAGAAAAGCCACTCAAGACCAAGAAGACCAACGGTGATGGAAAAGGAGCAGCGAAAATAGTGGGCAAAATATTCCACAAGTGAACCCAACTAGTTTACTGAACTATATTTTGTGGTCTGATTCAATGGAAATATTGAAACTGATGCGATGATATTTAACGGGGGCGTTCAACAGTGCCAAATAAAATCACTCCAATTTTGGTGCCAAAATGTCTGCAACTGAAAATCACTGCACTGTTGAACAAAGTTTTCATTTTCAGCACTGTTGAACTATTTTTTCCGGCACAGATGTACTTAGTTGTACTGCCCCTATTTGACAAATGAAGCCATATTTGACATTAAAAAACTGATGATCCGAGCAAATGTTAAAAAAATTTATATTTTATAGAAAATCTCCACCAATCAATTCAACTAACTTCGCCAGTTAGAATTAAATTTAGTCTAATAATGAGTATTATCTGAAATTAAAGGATATCACAATGTTGGAATTCTAAAAAAAATTAAAACTAGGGTGATATATTAACAAAGGCAGGTCAATTTCATTTAGGGCACAGAAGAGGCAACGCCTTGCAAGATTCGCTGTTTTCGTCCTCGGTTTCTCCCAGCTTCTGCAACATTATAAACACTAATCTTACAAATCGAAGCAAACAATTTATTAACATAAATTACATTCAATATAAGGATTGATGTAAATTTCTCTCTTTGAGGACTGGCGATAGGTGCGCTTTTTTGTTCTGCGCCGATCTACGACAGGCGTTCTCTTAAGAAGTTAGTTAATCTCGACTGACAAAGACACACAATGTATCATACCGACACAATGTATCAGACCGAGTGGATGGAAACCTTCACCTCGATTGAACATTATATTGAAAATTGTAGAACATAATACTGACGCATTTGCTAGGCACATTGACTGCCACCGGACTAAACGAAGCTCGATTCATGATAGGGATTGTTTTGTTCACAATTCAATCTACACATACCACATTTACTATAATTAGACAGAAACTTCAAATATTTGATATTATCTTTTGATGATTTCTGATCTCTACAGGTTCGTATTTCCCACACACAAAAAATCCTGAAATCCAAGAAAAAACAAGAGAAGCCTGAAGAGGAAATACGCCTTGCAAAAGAAACTTTTCGACACTACTGGATTCCACTCAGCTGATTAAAAGTCAATTGTCTTCGATACTTTCTTTAACGCACGTTCTTTAGCCCGGGTTCTGCTCATCCGTCTGCAGCTAAGGAATTTCGATACTTCCGCTGGCCTTAACCGCAGGTCTGCAGGAGTAACAGGGAGGGATTTCTGGGGCAGTTAAAAATATGGCAACTAGTGAGGCGGCAAGAAACAGGTAGGGCAAAGTGAAGAAACCTGGTTGTCTAAGCGAGCGAGGTACGTGGTTAAAAGCCGACTGTAACCAGACCGAAGTTGGGAAAGCTTACAGCGAGTGGTTCTGGAAATAAACTATTTGGTGGGGTCAAGGAATATGGTTACGAGATTGTTTTTGGTTTTGTTTTAGAAACTTATGGCGGTTAAAAACGAAAAAGGAAACTTCTGAGTCGTTGAGATTTGGTGGCGGGTTTTGATCGGTTAAAAGATAGCCTATGTCGTCTTTTAAAGCACTTAAAATGGATTTTTGAAGTTTATGTGGGCGTGGGGGTAAGCGTGATTAAAATGAGTTGGGTGATACAAACGGCACAAGGAGATGAAAAACAGCAGGTAAGAGAGTGGTGGTTTCGAAAGTTCAGGATCTAGACTTCACTATGCAGGTGGACAGTGGAGCTCATAAGCGTTGAGCTAGCGATTACGCGGAGGACTTGGATGAGCTGCAGGTAATTAATAGAAGTTTCGGTGGCGGCGTGGGCCCAGGCCAGGGAGGAATAATCTAAAACAGTGCGAATTAAGGCTTTGTAAGTTAAAAGTAAGGTTTCTGTGGACTGACCGCAAGAGGAAGCTACTTATGTCTTCAGGACTCCATTTCCGCTAAGATCCTTGTCAGTAGACCTCTTGCAGCGAGCTGCAAAGCATAGGATCAGGCCAAAAAAAACCCAAAAAATTTGTGGATTTTTAATAATAGGGAGAGGTTCGTTGTTTACAAAGACAGAGGGAACTTTGTAAAACAATCTTCATTGTAAGACAAAAGCAAGGTAACAGATTATAAGAGGACGCAATTGCTAGCTTACGGGGAGTGAAAAACTTGAAAAGGTGGAGGAGATACCATTTAATGAGCGCGATGCTGCCTCAACATCGGGGCTTTGGGCTAAGGGGTGGAAATCATCAGCGTATGAGGTGAGGCGAATATTTTCGGCGGGCGGAGGGCGTCAAAATAAAGACTCGGTGATGAAACAGAGCCCTGGAAAACTCAACAGTGAACAACTCTATGGGGTCATACTAGGTTGTTAAAAATGGTGGTTACTAGTCGGCCACAAAAAAATTGTTCAACAAGCGAAGAAATTTACCTCTTGGCAGCGGTGTCATGAATGAGTTCCACCAGTGTTCTATGACATACCACATCAAGAGCCTTTGGAAAGTCACGTGTAGCGAGGACAGTACGTAAGAGAGCGCCGTTTAGGTTAAAACCATCAGTGATGAAAAATGAAGGGTGGATAGTGCGGTTGTGGTGTACTTGAATGGGCGGAACCCGTGCTTATGTAAGGCATTTGTGAGGTGCTCTATTAAAAAGGAATGGATGAGCCTCTCTTAAATTTTGACAGTGGAGCACAACAGTGAAGTCGGCCTATACAATGCGGAAATTTTATGTTCCTTTTCAGGTTTGGACAGGGGGATTACCTTAAAAATTTTCCACAATTGAGGAATAAAACTATCAGACACCAGAAGTTTATACGAATGATTCAAGTTATCGAGTGTAAAAGTTTTGAGGTGGTTGAGTACAACATAGAGGCCATCCGGACCGAAAGCTCGCGAGGGTTTGCCATACGCTATGGCTCGTTTAATTTGTTGAGGGGATAAACTTGGGTTATCGGGCAGAGAAAATTTGCGTTTAGTTTTCACGAATCATTGTCTTGACTGCTGCCCAGCTGGCTGAATTTGTCAATGTTGTTGTTGTTGTTAGCCCACGCGGGTCGGGTTGGGCTCTTCTGTCTCCAGGTCAAGGAACTTAGCAACCTCTACCGGCCGAAGCCACAGGTCTGCTGGGGTGAGTGGGGAGGGGTTTTGGGAGCAGTTGAAAAGGTGACATGTTGTGTGGGGGGCAAGGGAACAGGTTGGGCAAAGGTGGGAGATGGAGCTGTCGAGGCGGGATAGGTAAGTGTTAAGGAGCCGGCTGTAGCCAGACCGGAGTTGGGAGAGCTTACAGCGCGTGGGACGTGGGAGGGATTTTTCAGAGGGGTCAATCTTTGGGCGAGGGATACAAATAACTTTAGACGGAGGGGTTTCGGCTAGGAACTTGGTTACAAGGGAGGTATGGTTGTCTTTTAAAATTGGTTTGTAGTAGTTAAAAATAAAAGTGGAGACTTCGTCTCGGTCGTCCAGAACTAGAGGGTGGTTTGCGTAGACTGAAAATTCGGTTAAAATTTTCTGGGTGCCTCTTTGAAGCAGCTTATAATTGAGGGGCGAAGTAGACGGGGAGGAGGGGGATGTGAATGTATAAAATTAATGGGATGGTGGGAACGATAGGTAGAGATAAAAAATTGAGATGACAGAAGGGTATGGTGGTCTTTGACCGTTAGGATTTCAGATTCACTGTGCAGGTGGGCAGTGGAACTCATTAGATTTGATCCAGTAACAACGCGAAGGGATTGGTTTTGGGCAACCTGCAGGCAATTTATGGAGGTGTTACTTGATGCGTGGGACCATGCGGGGGCTGCATAGTCGAGTATGGGGCGAATTAAAGCTTTAAAAGTTAGGAGGAGGGTTTCTTTGGAGTGACCCCAGGTTGATCCTGCTAATGCCTTCAGGATTCCGATCCTGCGTCTGGCCTTTTCAGCGGATTGTTTGCAGTGAGTGGCAAAACAAAGTGTTGGATCAAATGTCACCCCTAAGATTGTTGGATTTTTGTTTAGGGGTAGCGCCTCGTTATTTAAAAGAACACTAGGTGTTTTATTAAATTCTTTGTTATAAGAGGAGAAAAGTGTAACTGATCCTTTAGAGGACGCGAAACTTAGTTTGCGTGAGGTGAAAAAATCGTAGAGCCTTTTTAGGTAGCTATTGATGGAGTTTGAGGCGATATCAATATTGGAACTGCTTGCAAAGGGGTGGAAATCGTCTGCATACGAAACAAGGTTTACATTATCGGGAGGTGGCGGTGCATCATGGACATAAAAATTGAAGAGTGTGGGTGATAAAACAGAACCTTGGGGTACGCCACAGTGGATTATTCGATGGGGGGATGTGTGTTCACAGAATGAGGTGGCAGCCTGTCGACCATTAAGGTAATTACTTAGCCAGCGGACTAGACTTCTTGGGAGGGGAGTGTCATGAACGAGTTCCACAAGTGAGCGATGACACACCATGTCGAAAGCCTTAGATAAGTCAAGTGTGGCCAGTACCGTACGTTTAGGGGGGCGATTTTGGTTAAAACCGTCTGAAATGTAAAATTCGAGAGTGGAGAGAGCTGTGGTGGTGGAGTGAAAAGGGCGGAAGCCGTGTTGGTGTTTGGCGTTGGGGAGATGTTTGGTAAAGATGGGGTGAACGAGCCTCTCCAGAATTTTAACTGCTGGGCAGAGTAAGGATATAGGTCTGTAAGATGTTGATTGTTTAAGATCCTTATTGGGCTTTGGAAGCGGTGCAATTTTTGAATTTTTCCAAATTTGGGGGATAATGTTTTCGGACAAAGAGATATTAAAAAGGTATGTTAAGTATTGAGTAGCAAGTGGGCCGAGATGTTTAAGATGTATATTACAAAGGCCGTCGGGACCTAGCGCTCGCGATGGTTTGCTGTCTGCAATGGCTTGTTTAGTATTTTCAGGGGTAAAAATTGGGGTGTCTGACAGCGGTAGTTTGGCAATTTTTCTTCTCGTTATACGAAGGAGTTTGTCAGAGGCGTGGGGTCTGGCATTGGTGAATTGTTTGTTAAAAGAGCTGGTAATATCACGAGGTGAGTGTATGGGTTTAGAACCAAAAGTAATGGGGTGTCTTCCTGCCACGGGCTTAGATCCATTTAAGGAGCGTACCACTTTCCAGAACTTTCTGGCACCAGTGCGGTAGTCGCAAGTCCGGAGGAATTCTCGCCATTTATTTTCTTTGTCCTTTGCTGTCTGTTTCATGAGTCTACAGTTCAGTTGGGATATGACTTCTGGGGGGAGATTTTGTTGTCGGCTTAAATCTCTTTCGGCGGCAAGGGCAGTGGACTCGGGGGAAAGAGAGGGAGTGAAGTGGCGAATACGGCCAGCGGGGATGTGGTGGCGTGCTGCCCTGAGCACCAGGTCCCTCAAGAATTTCTCTCCGGCGGCA